TATATGTATATGTATATGTATATGTATACACACATACATACATACATACATATACATACATACATACACACACATACATACATATACACATACATACATACATACACACACACACACACACACACACACATATATATATATATATATATATATATGAGAATTAAAATTATATGCAAATACACACACACATACACACACACATACACACACTCTTCTATTAATAATAATAAATCAGGGGATGGGGCTGATGGGACTTGTAGTCTAACCCTTACACCCTCCGGATGCCAGGACTGAGGGAGCCTGGTTCGAAGGACACCCGGGCTTCGGGTAGGTAGGAAGCTGCTTTGCCTTTCCTGACTCGGGGGGCGGGGAGTGGGGGGTGGGAAGAGACTACAAAGCCCATCGCGGCGCAGCCGATGGGAGTTGTAGTCCGCCCTTTCCGGACGAGGCCGGCTTGCAAGTGGTCTCCGGAAGGCCCGCGTAGCAAACTTGGAGTCCCCCCACGTCCCTCCCATGCCACCGCGGCTGAGGAGCGGCTACTCACTCCGCCCCATGGCCGCCGCCGCACTCGCCTCCCTCGGCAGCTCCTGCAGGGCGCTGGCGGGGACGCCGCTTTGCGGTCGCCACGGCAACCAGATAAGGCGGGATCACGCACCTCGCTAGGCACGCCCACCCGGGCTGAGAAAGCAACTCAAGAGATTAGAAAAGGGACCCAATCTACCCACAGTTCGGGTACTGCAGCGAGCGCTGCGTTCTCCGAGTGGCTGTCCCGATGCGGTGTCCTCTAGCCGGGGAAGACTCCAATTTCAGATTAATCAGATTAGTCAATTTAACAGAGTTGGAAGGGATCTTGTAGGTCATCTAGCCCCCCCACCCCAATCCCCGCCCTTCCATTATGCCACCCCCCACTCCGACTCCTGTAGAATGGATAAAGGCAGTTAATAAATTTGATCAATGGGTTGCAGCCGTTTGGGAAAAACAAATCCTTTGCAGATAATCTGAAAGTGAAGAATTTTTCTTCCCCTTCCAAACTTTCTTGGATTTGCGTGGGAAATAAACTAAAGAGAAGTCGCTCGGACACCGGAATTGTTGAAATATCGGGGCGGGTAGTCGCTTCCATTGAGATAGGGACAGATGAGAAGCGCCGCCTTTTCCTTTAGCATTTGGCAGAGATTTTAAATGATGGGAAAGTTCATAGACTCTTCTTATTATTACGGATAGTCCTTGACTTACGACCACAATTGAGCCACAAATTTCTGGGGCTAAGCGAGACAGTGTTCTGTGAAGTGAGTTCTGCTCCACTTTACGACCTTTCTTGCCATCGTTGTTAAGCAAACCACTGCAGTTGTTAAGCGAATCTGGTTCCCCCATTGACTTTGTCAGAAAGTCTCCAAAGGGAGACTTTGGACCCCTGCAACCCGTCATAAATATGAATCGGTTGCTGTGCTTCTGAATGTTGATCATGTGATGCAACAGTCATCAATGTGAAAAATGGTCATCATTCTTTTGTTTTTTCTGTGTTTTTATAACTTTGAAGAGTCACTAAAAGGAATGGTTGTGAGTTAAGGACTACCCATATTTATTAAACTTGTCCTCAATAAGTTTCTTTGATTTTGATATGCTAACTTAGCTCATTGATTGTAGTTTGAAAGGTATGACTTTTAATAACAACGCAATTTTGTGACCCAAGCTATTCAAAGTTTAAATTAACTGATGGGTTTATTTGTAAAAGACTGGATAGCCTTCTGCCTTGTATTCTGTTATTTTTTCACAGATTAACAGAGTTGGAAGGGACCTAGTAGGTCATCTAGTCCAACCCCCCGCTCACACAGAAGACCGTACACCGTTTCTGACAAATGGCAGTCCAATCTCTTCTTGAAAGCCTCCAGTGGTGAAGTTCCCACAACTTCCGAAGGCAACTTCAGTTCCATTGGTTGATTGTTCTCACTGTTAGAAAGTTCCTCCTTATTTCCAGGTTGAATCTCCTTGGTCAGTTTCCATCCATGATTCCTTGTCTCTCCTTCAGGTTGCTTTGGAGAATAGGTGGACCCCCTCCTCTCTTTGGCAGCCCCTCACATATTGGCACACTGCTATCATGTCTCCCCCTGGTCCTTCTTGTCTCTAAACTAGCTATGCCCAGTTCCTGTAACCATTCTTCATATGATTTAGTCTCCAGCCTTGGCTCAGTTCCATCCTTAAAATCTATGTATACAGGAAGTCCTCAGGTTACAACTGCAACTGAGCCCAAAATTTATGTTGCTAAGTGAGACATTTAAGTGAGTTTTGTCCCATTGTACAACCTTTCTTGCCACAGTTAGGTGAATCACTGCAGTTCAGAGGTGGGTTCCTACCAGTTCGCACCTATTCGGTAGAACCGGTTTGTCAAATCTACCGNTCCCATCAACTATACTAGTGAAACAGCATAATGAAATAAGAGAAAGTGTGGCAGGCCAAAATTCTAAAAGGAATATAATTGCAGGCCTGACAGCTTGATCATTTGGCCCCATCCTAGCATTTAAGTCATGCAAAAGCGAAATCTCCACCTGTCTAAATAAGAGTAAGGGAGTCACAACCCATGACTGGAAAGGTGGCAGTGATACATATTTAAATTGCAAGGATGTATTAACTAATGTCACAATACCCACCCACCATGCTTGGGACAGCTGGGATTGAGTTAGCCCCATAACCATCTAACGGTATCTCTGCAGAGGCCCAGGTTTCCTGTACGATGAGGATGTCAAATTGTGATATATATAGTCAAAAAAAAGAGTTGGTCTTTTGATGGAACAGACCAGCCTGCTATATTCCAGGTTATAAGGGAAAGTGGGGCATCTTTTGCAGCTCATCAGGAAACTTGATTTATACAAAGGGAAGAAGTTGGGTTGTTGCCATGGATTGAGGTGTCATCACGCACAGAATTGGCCTTCTCTAAAAGTAGGGGAGGTGTCCCATCTAAGTCCTGTGTAGACTCCTGAGGATCTTGTTCAGAGTTAAGAGGTTCTAGCGCCAGCTAACAGAGCTTGCCATTCCGATGCCTCTTCTCTGGGTGTGGGGCAAGGAGTTATTAGGTCATACTTCATTTTTTGAGATGATGGCTCTCTCAGTTTCTTGGTTTGGTGCTGAAGGTGTCATGCAGGGATGTGCAGTCAGGGGAGGCAGTTTGACAATGGGGAGGGAATTAGCAGAGTGATGGCATTCAGGAAAAAAACTGTCCTTGTGTCTATTTGTTCTGGTGTGCAGTGCTTTATAGCGTCGGTTTGAGGGTAGGAGTTGAAACAATGTCCAGGATGTGAGGGGTCTCTAGATATTTTCACAGCCCTCTTTTTGACTCCTGCAGTGTGCAGGTCCTCAATGGAAGGCAGGTTGGTAGCCATTGTTTTTCCTGCAGTTCTGATTCTCCTCTGAAGTCTGTCACTGTCTTGTTGAGTTGCAGAGCCAAACCAGACAATTATAGAAGTGCTTGCAAGCAAGGAGACAAATGAAGAGGAATTCTACTGCATGCAGTATGTAACCTAGACTTGCACACTTCCTGAACCACAAGCTTATCAACCGCACCACAGTTTAGTGCAGTGTTTCTCAACCTTGGCAACTTGAAGATGTCTGGACTTCAACTCCCAGAATTCCCCAGCCAGCATTCGCTGGCTGGGGAATTC